AGAAAAAGTAGATGAGGTCCTCTACAGACAGGAGCAATCTCATGTCTGCAGGCCCACACCCTTGTGGCCTGATATATGCTGGAGGGACAACACAGCAGGACGTAATCTGGGAGGGTCCTTGAGTTCATTGACAATTTCTTCCTCCTCCAAGTGATAGAGGAGCCAACAAGGACAGGTGTTTTGCTGGACACTCATACCATCAACAAGAGGCTTTTTGGGAATCTGAAGGTCAAAGGCATCCTTGGCTGCATTGACCATGAGATGGTGAAGTTCAGGATCCTGATGGGAGGGAGGAGAGTAAAAGCAAGCTTGCAGCACTGGGCTTATGGAGAGTGGATTTTGACTTGTTTTCAAGCAAGGTTGATTTAATGCTGTTAACAAGATGATAAATTTGGTTGGCAAGAGAAAATCTGAAGATGCAATAGCCTTTTATAAAAGGGATTGGCTTGGTAGCACACTAGAAAAAAGTCAGTGTTTAAAAAAAAAATCACAGGTATACAAACTGAGATATAACTATCTGACTGTTTCTCTAAAAGTAGTTGCTAGCACTGTAGAGTGTGTTCATGGAGTGGCAAGTGAGAAGTCATAAAGAAGGTTGCTTTTGCTCCTGCATATGAGTTTAATGATACTTACCTTGGAATGATGCATAAAAATATGAATGTTCACACTATTCAAGATTTCCACTTCAGAGTGGAAGTTCAGTCATTTTAGATGGTCCAGTTACTTCTCCATCTTTTGGGCTTTTAAAAACATTGTTATAGTATGTTAAAGAAAAAAACCCAAACCTCAGACGTGGTATTTCTTCCTCCTTGAAGTATTTTTAATAACTCAGAATTAGACATTATTACTGACTAGAAAATGAAGTTAGACTTTCAAAATGAAGAAGGATACTTTTTTTTTTTTAGATGTTAGACTTGATTTGGAACAAAGGATCCACATTCAATCTCTATTTCATCTCTTGATTTCTAAAACCCAAGCTGAACAACTTTCTTCATGCTGTCATCCAATTCATGTTACTGGGCTCAATGTGTAGGAACATGGGTTAAAGTCAAGGGCCAAGCTAGATGATTTGATGTCATGGCCTTAACCTCAGTAATTGCTTGAAGTGCTAGGGGAAAGCAGCTGTAACAGAACTGGTGATCGGCTTTTAGAATGACTTTAAAGTTGTGTTTCTGGATGCTTGCAATTTACTTGAATGAGACTGGTAATTTATCAAAGCACTTATGTAGATAGGGCTGCCAGAACTTAGAACTTCATCTTGTTGTTAAAGCTTCTTCTGTTTTGTAAGGACCCATGCAAGCATCAAGTGTTGCTTGATGAAACTCTTGCAACACTGTGGATGTGCTCTTCTTGCAAGGTGGGTTTAGTAACTGCCAGCCCTGCAAAACATCTCTGTGATTCGTTCCATTAAGATTGAGTTGTTGCTGCTGTTGAACGTGTTCTGAGTCATGTCCTACTCACCATTGCACTTGAGTTTGAGCACTGAAGAAAATCATGTTTTGTAACAGGTCCCTCCAGACACTCTCTTGTGATCATCTTAGTGTCATCGTGCCTATCCCCATTTGTATAGGAGAGAAATGGCAGCAGCAGTAATAGAATTTGACATACATGTCTCCCTCATTTGCCCCTTAGCACAAAAAAAGAAAAAAAAACAAGTGCCATTCTCATCTTTATCTTGCTAGTGACATAAGATTTTGAGGCTAGAGAGGCTGAGACGTGTTTGACAGTTTTGGAAGCAGTGCATAACCAGAGTAAAATCCAGGTCTCATACTTGGGTGTAGCTGAACAGTGTTAAAAAAAAGTAAGTATGCAGTGTAGGTAAAGCCTGCAAATACTTTTAAGGACTCATTTTTCCCATGTATTTTTCAAAATGGATGTTGCAATACCAAGTCAAATACTGAAGACAGAAGTGAGTAGCTGTGTTATTGCAGATTTGTTACAGCTGTACTTGCATTGGGTACGTATACATATACATATGATAAATTTTACTGAAATAAACCAGGAGTATTTTTTTGTTGAATGTCTCTTTAGTACTTGTTGGAATAAAACTTAGTAGTTTTGGAAATGGAGGAAGCAACAGGGAGGGAGAAGAGGAAAAGCTTGCTGCATATAAGATCAAGTTTTCCAGTGTTGTGGTTTAGGCCCAGCTGGCAAGAAAAGACCATGTGGCTGCTTGTCTTTCCCCCGGTCAGATGGGGGAGGAGAAAATAGAAGGAAAGGCTGGTGGGTGGAGGCAAGGACAGGGAGGGATCACTCACCCGTTGTGGTCATGAGCAAAACAGACTCCACTGGGGGAAGAAAAATAAATTTAATTTGTTACCCATCAAATCAGAGTAGGGCAGTGAGAGATGAAACCAAATCTTAAAAACGCCTTCCCCCATGCCTCTCCTCCTTCCTGGGCTCAGCCTTGCTTCTCATTTGTCTGCTTCCTCCCCCTAAGTGGCACAGAAGGCAGGGAATGGGGGCTGTGGTCAGTCCATCACACGCTGTCCCTGCTGCTCCTCCCTCCTCAGAGGAGGGGTACTCACACTCTGCCCCTGCTCCAGCGTGGGGTCCATCCCATGGGACACAGTCCTCCACCAACTTCTCCAACATGAGTCTTTCCCATGGGCTGCAGTTGCCCTAACCGCTGTGATGTGGGTCCCTTCCATGGGTGTGTGGTCCTTCAGGAGCAGACTGCTCCAGCGTGGGTTTCCCACAGTGTCAGGGGCTCTTCGAGTGCAGCCATCTGCTCCAACATGGGGCCCTCCCCAGGCTGCATGACCCTCCATGGCTGCAGGGGCACAGCCTGCCCTCTCCCCACAGGCTGAGGGGAACCTCTGCTCTGGGCACCTCCTCCTGCCTTTCTGCACTGACCTGGGGGTATGTCTGGCTCTCTCACACCCCACTGCTCTCTCCATGCTGATTCTCCCCACTTTGTTTCCACTTCCACGGCTGCTTCTTCTATTGTGTTTTCCCTTCTTGAACAGGTTAATGGCAGAGGCGCTGAATGGCTCGGACATGCCCAGCTCTGATGTGGAACCAGGGGAGCTTTTCTTGATTTTTTCACAGAAGCCACCCCTGTGGCCATTCTCTCATTACCAAAACTGCCCACCACAGAAACCCAACACATCAAGACTTCAGAAAAGTAATGATTTGACCAAAAGTAGCAGCTGTGCTTAATCATGTTTTTGAAAACAAATTAAAAGTGCAAGGGAGAGCTGCTTAGCCTAGCTGGGGTTGATTTTGACATCCTGACTGTGGTACAGTTCAAGAGGGAAGTATTTCTGAAATAATGATGCTCTATTTAGCAACACAATATAATCAAATATTTTATAGATCCATTGTGTCAGGTGGATGATCTTCATCATTTGTAATCATTCACACTTTATGGTTTGTACATAACTGATTCAAACCTAGTACAGGAAGACTTTTTTTTTAACAGGAGGAGGTAGATACCCCATTTCTGTTGCTATAGACTCAAATTTCAGTTAAATCAACTTGAACAAATAACAAGCTTCAGGTCATGTGTTAGAACAGTATGGTGTTCCTACAGGACTTAAATTTATATTTGATTGATGGAGAAAATAGTATGTTAAAAAGCTAGTGTTGACAACACAACCTGCCAAGAATATCCCTTTTTACCTTTGTTCTTTCTTTGCTCCCCTCTGATTTGTTAGCTGCAATTTCTAGTACCTTTTTATCCTGTCAAGTTAGTTTTTTAGTTAAATCTATTGTCTTAAGAGAAAATATTCCTACTAACCAATTGTCACTTTCAATGCCATGTACATGGATTTTTAGATGAGATTCAAATGAATAAGTTTAGTATGTAAGAGAATAAGAAAATGTACACTCATATATTTAGTAAAATATACTGCTTTGTCTAGGGAAAATGTTTATGATGAAGAAAATGGTTTGAAAAAATAAAGCCCTCAGCTGCAGCTTATATATTGGGAAAATTTTGAAAACTAAGCTTATAGAAGATAAATCTAAATCCTAAATAGAAAGGTATGGATGAACTAAATTGAATGACAGCGTAGTAAAAACTTCGGTTAGTCTAGTGAGATTTTCTTTCCACACACAGCTATTTGTTTGGGCAAATCAGTTTTATTAGTACATATATCAAGTATTTTTCTAGTTTTTTTTTATCATTGTTTTTAAGGATATGTATTTAATTTTTTTCACATGCACGGGAAGGTCTTCTCACTTTAATCAGGGTGTGTAGCGGTTCTCGTGTGCCTTTTAGACCCTGTGAGTAGCATTCATCAGAGGAAAAGTCCTCTGGAGAACTTTAGGTTTCCTTTGGAAATCCCCAGGAATTTGGCTTCATTACATGCTTCTGTCTGCTCTGACTATGTGGGACTGTATTTTTTTTTTTTTAATTTTTTTTTTTAATGTAAGCCTTTGGAAAGTTCCTTCATCTTTGCAGATTGTTGGGTACACTCAGCGTGCTACAATGATGTGAAAGCTCAGCTATAGTAAGTGTGCCAGCTACTTGTCAGAGCATCCCCCCCTTACAAAAAAAAAAAAAAGATTGTTAGCTATCTCAAATTTAGTAATTCTCTGGATTTGTTGCTTTCATGTTTTTATCTGCATCCTATGCAATTACATTAATGCAGTTAGATAACTGTAATTACAGGTGACTGTAATTAGTCTAGAAACTAATGCAAATGTTAACTCAGTTAAACATTTTCACTTCTTTTACTAGAAGTAGTCTTTAAAACTCTGAGTACTTCTAGTAAACGTTTATTTTCTTGTCTTTAGGATCAGTCTAGGATGGTTTTTTTATTCTGGTGTTACTTTTTTTCCTTTGACTTCTTTTGGCCAGGAATAACAGGTACGCTTGGAAACTTGCTCTCCATTGACGTGGTCTTCAACATGAAATTCATTTTATCATGAGGACAGTATCCAATACAAATTTGTACTATACCTTTGTGATTTGAGCAATGATTTTGGTGTTTTTCAGAGAAAACAGTCATTGATATATAGTTTTTCACATACTTTCAACTCTTTTCTTTTAGGTAACTTTTGAAATGCACAAAGAGAGTCTTTCTCAAATGTACAGGGAATACCAAGGGAAAGGAGGTGAAGTGAGTGGAATACGTTCTTCAGCTCCAATTAGGACAATATCTGGAGTTAGCCAAGAAGTTGAAACTAAGGGAAAGCAACAGTATTTGGAGTTAAAAGAAGATGCTGCTGCTCCTTCCTGCATTAGTGATGATGATGCGGAGTGTGGTGCTAAAAGAAAAGATATAAATACCTCATCAGATGGTGACCAACAGACTCGTTCACTGTCTCATCATATGGAGGAGTTAGAGCAGGAAGACAGGGAGACTATGCAGGATTTAAAAGCAGTGTGTTGTGTGGAATTTTCTCCAGAACCAGAAGCAATAAAGCCCAGTGTTTCAGAAATTAGTACTGGAATAGCTGAAGCAATTGAAGATTCTCTGAGCAAAGCTGATGAGCTTGTGGAAGAAACGGTAGCTGTTACTGCTGGTTCTTCAGCAGTGCAAACTACTTTGGAAGGAGAGACTCCTGAAAGTCCAAATAGACTGGAAAAATCAACAGTAGAGGTGGAAGATGAAGATGACTTTGTTGATTTGAAAGAGGAAAGTAATATGTCTTTACCTTTGGAAGCGTTTGTAGAAACAGAGAAGGAACGTAGCTCTAATGAAGGCAAAGGAGCAAAGCAGGAAAATGCAATAGAGAAGCAATCTGAATCTGTGCTTTTAGAATCTGAAGATATAGAAGGCGTAGATGGGAGAAAGCAAGAACTGACTTCTTTGCCAGAAACAGCGAGTTCTGCGGTTCAAGAAGTAGAGACTCATCCGGATTCAGAAGGAAAAAAGAAGCTGGAAGAAGAAAAGATTCAATTTAGTGAAACCAAAAGAGCTGAAGAAAACATAAATGCACATGTGCCGGACCCTGCTGGAGCCTCTGACAGAAGAATTGCCAAGCTTGATGTTTCTAGTGTTGCATCAGATACAGAGAATCTGGAACTGAAAGCTAATACACGTTTGGAAGCACCTCTGCCCCCCAGGTCCCTGCCTGAGGTAAATTCCACCTGTCCTTCATCCGTCTAGCTTAAAAATAAAAGGAAGTTCTTATTTTATGAGATTTCTTAAAAAGTGTGCCCATACACATTTTGAGGATTTTAATATGTGTGGATTTTGAGTTATCTAAAGAACGCTTTCAACCCTTGATTAAACTAGCCATCATTCTTACGGATTTGTGTACTGAGAAGTCTATAAGATTTTATTCTTTTTACATCTACTTATGGATGCTGATGGAGACTGATTATTTCGCTAGATGGACACTTCATCTGTGTTGGTACTCTGTTCTTAAATTGGAGGAATTGAATACAACATTTATATATTCTGAGAGGATTTTATGTAGAATCTTTTCTGCTTATTTACTCAACCTCCATTTTATTCTTTTCAATCTGGTCTCTTATAATCTTAACTCTGTAGTTATTGAGAAGCAAATATTGTTTGTGGAGAAAAAAATAGCACTATGTTTCTTTTATATCCTGATGGAATTTGTGAAAATATTTTTCCACTAGCTACCCCGCAGGAGGTACACATGCATATATATATGCGTGTGTGTATATATACACTTGAAACCATACTAGGCTATTTGAAATTATGTGTATATATTTGAAACTATAAAGTTTGATAGGATTGTTACTCCATCATGTCAGCCGACCTTTTATGTGCAAGTGTAATTTAAATCTGGGCTTCTGCAGTGCTCTACCCATCTAGTCTTCTAGTTTCTAACTTCCCTTTTCATGGTTAAATAGTCACGTATCTGAGTACTTCCCTTCTGCAGACATACCTGCTAATGGATGCTCTTCATTCTGCACCATTCTTCCTTAAAGGAGGAAACCCACTGTCTACAGCAACATATACTTCCCCTGTGGTAAGGTTTGGTTGCTGCTTGTGTATGCCTAGACTGACAGGTGTGGTAGTGCAGTTGTAGACTAGTTTGTAGGTTCGGTATATCCAGTAAATAGCATTTGTGTAATAGTTTTAGCTTTATTTGTAACTATGTGCACAGCCTGAACTTGCTGGACATCTAAAATCTCAAGTCTGTTAAATGCATTTCAGTGTATGCCATGGAAACTAATTACCAGAGCATTGTTGTGTGTCTTTTGGTTGTCATTGTTGTCTTTTGTTTTTTTTGTCCCTCTCTGTCTGCAAACTTTGTATTCAGACCTCAAGGCAACAAGATTGTTCAGGACAAGAGCTAGCTGCTACATCAGATGGGCAGAGAAGAGACTCTAGATCAACTGTGTTCCGTATTCCTGAGTTTAAGTGGTCACTGATGCATCAGCGCTTGCTCACAGACTTACTCTTTTCCATAGAAACAGATATACAGATGTGGAGAAGGTAAATTTCTATGCTTTATATGGAGTGATCTGGAATGGCATTTCAGTTATAATTAACTTGAGATTTTCTTGCGACTGCATTGGAGTCACTCTTAGACTTCAAGTTTTGCACATTTGGTATTTTACTCATACAGTAGCCTGCCTTACTTTGTGGCCTATACCCAGATATTCTCAGATATTTTTTTTTTTTAAGACTCTTCACAGACATAAATGTGTGTTGGTGGGGGGCCTGCACATGTATTTTGACTGAAATCCTGGCTGCACTTCAGTCAATGGCAGTCTTGCTGTTGATTTTGAATGGACCATGATTTTCATGCTCCTAACATGTGAAGCAACTTCGTCTTTTATTAGTATCTAAATACGGACTAGAAAAAATATAAACCTATCCTCAATCGTATTTATTATGCCTGCATTTACAGACACTATTTTGCTGCTTTGATAGCGTTCTTTGAACACAGAGATGTTCTTTTAAATGTTCATTTAAGATGTTAATTTAAAAATTCATCATAATATGTTAATTTAGAAAATAACTTCTAACAGAGATCTGGAATGTAATAATCAAAATGAATTTAGTAAAAAAAGGAAACTTTTGAAAACAGTGGTAATTTTGCATTTTAATGTTAAGGTTTAATAACTTCTACAGGTGGTGTCTGCTATTAGCTTGTAATTAGCTAGTGAATGTCAAACTGAACCATTTAGCTGTACTGACTTGATAAAAAGGAATGTAAGGATGAAGAGGGTATTTAAATGATGAAAACAATATAAACTGAGGTGAATTCTTGCCTGACTATTAATTTTTAGGATGTGATTAAATTAACTTCTCAGGACATCATCAGATATAGCTAAAATATACTTTTAGTTTAGGTGCTGTTTTGAAAATCTGTTTCTGTGGTTAACAGCATGTAAGTGTATGCGTTTTGTTGACTTTAAATTTCTCTGAGAAGCCCTTAGTATGTGCTTTCTTTTTCCAAAGATTTAAGTTCAAACCTAGTTCATGCTTTCAGGAAACTGTTGTAGTGCATGATAGAGTGACTTTTGCTACAGCAAGTATTCATAGAGCAGCCTATAACGTACCTTTATTCAAACGATGATTAACACACATCTTGATGTTTTTAGCAAGCTGTGGTCTGGAGAGGTTTAACAACAGAAAGGAGAGGTAGTTTCAGATTCAGATTAAGATACATCAGTTGACCCTTAAGGTCATGTGTTATTTGATGCCCCACTGCTAACTGTCTGGTTTTAGTTTTATGAAAGCATAAGGATGCTAAAATACCACAAAAATAAAGCTGTATTCTTAATGGTTTTTTTTTTTTTTGGACAGCCATTCTACAAAAACTGTGATGGACTTTGTGAATAGCAGTGACAATGTCATATTTGTGCACAACACAATTCACCTCATCTCTCAAGTGATGGACAACATGATCATGGCTTGCGGTGGTATACTGCCATTGCTTTCTGCTGCCACATCTGCTACTGTAAGAAGTTCCGTTTTTTGTTAGAAAATTTATCTCATGGGAGGACACCTTTATGTATG